ACAGGAAAACATAGGTGATTTTAGTAAAACTTAAATTTCATGTGGAATGACGTTTGGGAAAATGTTTTATAAAGGACGATAATGGTGGACATATTTTGTGAATGAGTTAAAGTCATTCAAGTGAGGAACATCGTCATCAACAATATTCTGGAGGAACTGGGAATAAGGAGGTGAGTGATGAGAAGTTGGCATGATGAATACATCAAAGAGCAGAACATATCATTGCCTTGGTGACTCACTCCCTCCCTGTCCCCACTCACTCCTCTCTCCATCATTGTGACATCTGTATCCTTATCAAATGCACATGGCAGATGTATGTGCACCTGCTATCAATTCTCAATTAAGGACACCTTTCTGTCCTATTCTCATGATTAAAGAAAGAATTTTGCTCTTATGTCCTTGAGAATTCAGCCCCATGGGGGGTGGCTATTTTTCTGTGATAGTAGACTCCATGGATTGTGATGGCAATAGCAGCCCATGATCTCCAAATACTTTGTGGCCATCTCATACCTTTGGATTAACATAATACTAGCTCCTGGTGGCAGCTACATACCCCAAGTTCAAGAGTAGCTCATAAAAGGGAAGAGAGGGTATGTGAAAGAGCCTACTAGTCACACACAATGGACTGGAAGATTGCTGTCCTAAGTGTAATTTCTCAAACATCTTGGGCTTAAAATGGAATAGTGTTGTGCCTGTCATGGCCTAATGATAAATTTATATTATTATTATTTCATAATGTGTCAAATGCCTATACTTAAAATCTGTGGATAACAGATTGCTAAGTAAATATGGTAATGTATGGGAAAGCATCAGAAATGCCTCTCATCCATAGCAAAAGTTGGATGGGTTTCAGTCCCATCAGAATCTCTGGCTTCTTCCACCAGCCTTGCTGTTATTCCCCGTCTTTTCAGCCTTTCTTCGCACAGCTGTCAGGGCCCCGGATTGCTCTGCATTGTCTGCATAGCTCTAAACTCTTAAGGAAATTCTTCCTGCATAATACAGGAACTGATGAAAATCTAACTTAGCGAACAGGCTGTGAGGAATGGCAGAGTTTTTTACTTGAATAGTAGAATTTATTAATTGTACATTATGGTCCAAGTTGTTCTACTTTAATTAATTTTCCTGCTAGTAAAAAAAAAAAAAAAGAACTAGTGTTGTGCAAACTCTCACAGCTGAGGCATGAGAATCTTAGGCCAGGATTTAGCCCTAGCAGTTCAGTGGCTAAAGTGGCTTCAAGTACCCAAGGATTATCTCCGTTCATTTGAATGCTTTTTGGCTAGCAAGTTAACAGCTGAGTGTATTTTGAGTAAAATAATAAAGGAAACAGCTGATAAAAATATCGATGTTGTGTATCTGCTGGAGGAGATTTGTATCTGCTCTTTCTCAAACCACTGCTGAGCTGCCGTTCCTCCACTTCTCGCCACGGCAATTATCTCACAGTAGTGTTATCTCCAGACGTCTTCCTGACCAGACAGAAAGGATCTTGGACGAAGTTGCTCCTCTCGTTTGTTTTAAGGAGGTCTGTGGGGTTCTCCTAGGAGCTATCTACGTGCTGTTAGAAATCCACCTACGCAAGGGCTGGATGGAATGGCTGTGGAGGGGCTGTTCTCTGCTCAAAGCGAGATGTGGTTTCAAATTGCTAAAGCCAAATAAACCAAGAAATTGATGGTGAGCTTCCACCTGAAGATGGGCTTGCTCTCCTGTTTATGAGTCTGTCAAAAGATATGTCCAATAATAACCTTTCAGTGAAGTAAGTAATAGCGTTTGATGTCTTTTTATCTTCTAATCATACAAGGAAATGGAGCCTGTCGTAGCAGCCAAGTGGTGAGAAGGGAAACATTTCATTGGAGACCAGAGAACTTGTGTAAAGTGAGCAGGATACTAAAGGGGTCTGCCCTGAATAGAGTGGCCAAGGAAACTGAGATAGGAAGTGAAAGCCCATGCAAATAAGGGGAAAAATGGAATTATGATGTAGTCCAAACATAACTTATAGATCAACTTATATGAACTAAAAATTTTGCATATCACTTTTTCCAGGCTTAATAAATGATGTAAATCTTTATTTTTATGCATCATAGGATTACAAAATCTTTAAGTCTTTTTATGAAATCAAATGAATGTTTAAAGTCACAAAAAGTCCTAAGAATTCTGATTTTTTTGTTGATCTTTTGTCACACTATGGCTTATATCATTTTTTAATTAACTTTCTTTCCTGTTGACTGAAAAAGAAAAGAATTTAGGGTAAATATAATTACAAATAAAGAAACACACTTCACTTTTTAATCTAATATAGATTAGTGCATTTAATTTTATAAACAATGGGTTTCATGGTGGCACGTACTTCACTTTTATAAAGCATCTGTGAGAAGATTGTGGAAGATTGTGGATTTTATAAAATGGATATGTACTTAGTAAATATTCAAATTTTGAATAATATTATTGAACTTATTTTGTTTCACAGAATACCAAAAAAGTATAATTAAAACTTCAAAATCATATTCAGATCAATATCTTGATGATTTTATAAATAAAATTTTAAAAATTAGATGCTGTTTTATTTCATCTCAATGTCTGTTCTCTGCCCCAGAAGTAATAGCTTCATAGAACATTGAACTTTCCCTTAACTTCCATCAAAGTAGCAATTTAGAATATTTTTACATGCAGAAAAACACATTGTTGATTCATGTGTGTCATTATCAAGAAAACCATTTTAGATTGTGAGATGGAGAGTCTCTTCACCTACTAGCGATGAAACTTATTTCTGCACACCATCCCAATGGATAAGATACTCACATTTATCAGCAAAATGTCACAAAATGGACTGTGAAGGTGGGGTCTGAGTAGGTGAAGCTGCAAGTGCTGAATCTGCAGTACTGACTTTACACCTACACTTCAAACAATTAAGGCTGAACTCTTCTGTTGAGTTGTGAGAGTAAGGTTTCCACCTGGTCCTGCCTTTCCTCATTAAAATCCCCAAAGATATTTGTTCGTGGTTCAACCTATAGGACTGAAAAAAGATGTGCTGTATTATTTTGGGGTTCCCAGTTTGTGAAGACTGGGGTTTATCTTGCAGCCAGATCAAAATCTATCTTGCTGAGAGGCTCCTGTATTGCTGTCGAGAAGCAAATGAACTGATTTCTGTGTCAGTTATTCCATTTGCTCACTGGTGCCTTGACTTTTTCCAGACTCAATCTCTTGGATTTTATTTTGAAACTCAGAATAATTCTTGCCAAACCCTTTTGGAGAGGTGTGCTTTGAGAAAATGTGAGTGTGTGAAAAGGAATATGCACTTCAGACCAACCCCTTTACATGGTTTTCCATGTGATCCCCACTGTCTAGCATATCTTACTGATGCATTTGCAAGATACTCCTCTTTGGAAGTTTTATTTTGCTGTCTAGCACAATGCTGTACACAAGTGGTAAGCAAAGTATGGCTGGCTGACCCCCTGCATCACTATTATCTGATAATTAAATTAAAAACACCAATGAATAAAGAATAATAGGATGCCTCTACTGACATGGAATTCCTTTATGATGGGGTCACATCTGCTCCTGCTCACCATTATTACCCTACAACTGCACCTGCTTCCTGACAATTGATGTGTGCTGAATAATGAACTGTTGAACTCCTCCTAGGACATGTCTCCAAGAACCTTTGGATCCAAAAGTGTCATTTGGGCAAAGGAAGATTCAAGGAAGGACTGGTACATTTGTGAGGATATCAAAACACCCCAGGAATACTTATTGAGAGGAAAAATGTCTTTATCATGTTTATTCATTGAGAACTCACTATATTTACTTTGCATATTTTCCCAAGGAATCCTAGAATTCTGTTGCTGAGGTTTTTCCATATTAAACATTTTTTTAAAAAACCAACTTTATAATGAAAGCAATTTAGTAATAATATAAAACAACTATATTATTCCAACTATCTTAATGTTCAAGGTACACTGGCTCAGAATTCTTTACTGATTACTCTGAGTAAAGTTCAGACCTTGAAAACATTTAGCATATGAAAAATCTATTTTTGATATATTTTCTTAATTTAAATATTTTGAGGGAAAAACTTCTTATTCTGCCAAAATTATGAAAAATCTCTATTTAGAAATTTCTACTATTCGGAAGACTTAAAATAAATAATAACCCATGGTCACAGTGTACTTCTATTATTCACTGGTATAATTTGTTGCAACATGTTTGTGCTAGCAGCTTAGCATAACACTTTTCCCCCTGTGAACCAAAAAATAAATTGCATAGTCTTTTTGCAAATGACTTTACAGTAGTGGAGATAAGTGAAAACCTTGGCGTGGCATGCAGATTTTGTATTTTTCAGTGCATTTCACTTAGGTGTGCTGTGTCCAGGAAGAGACATGCTTCTCAGTCAAGGCTGCATGGCTCCAACCTTGATATTTCCACTTTGCAGGGCATGCAGGAGAATGTACTAGACTTTTCTACTTCATTTGGCTTGAAAATCTCATTGTGCCTGGAAATTTAAGACATGGAAAAGAACCCTCCTTGATTAAAGGAAGGGTTTCATGTTTGGATAGTGAATAGCGCAACAGGTGGTAAGTTAAGTAGAAATGTTTACCTGCTTTGCAATTCACAGACCCTGCACTTCTACAGCTTCCATTAGTGGCTACATCAGCCAGGGCAAATTTCCTTGATTCTTTAACCAATTTGTTGATCTAGAAAAAAAGGGGGCAACTCTGTTATTCAGAGTCCTGGTAAGTGGTAAGGTATACGTGAAAATAAGGAGGCATGTCCTGGACTATGCCACCCGCCAATTACTCTTAGGCATACCTCCAGCAACGGAGGTAGCAGTCCCTTTGTAAGTTGTCACTTTTCAGATATGAACGTGTACATGAATATACATACAGCTTTGCTAACTGTATAACAAATATTCATGTACCCACAAACACCAGCCGGTATAAAAAAAGTGGTCTTGGAGTTAGAATTTTATAAAACTGACCAGCAAGAGGCTACAGAGTGAGGAGTTAAGAACAGGGGCTTTGCAGACAGTCACCTTGGTTGAACTTTCGATTTGACTTGATTCCTGCATTTTTGGGGTGGAGAAGTTACTCAAATTTTCAGTCTCTTTCTCTTCATCAGAGTTTTCATGTCCATACCATTGATTTGTGGTATCTAATAAAAGAGATAATATATGAAGCACTGTCACCACGGCCAATAAAAAGGAAGTACTCAATAAACGTTCATCGTCATTTTACAAATCTCCTTAAAATGACATTACATTTAGAACCTCAAATGAGAGCATTTTATTGGACAAAAATGTAATAAGTGGACAAGATGGGGAAGATTGGTGGCAAGGAATCAAGGTGGATTTTCAGCTTTAACTCCTTGACCTTGAGGTTGAAATTTAAGTCTTCTAGTGCAATTTTTAGAAAGTTTCAAACAGAACTAAGAGTGTCAGGATGCCTCATTTTAAACCTACCTGTATCAAATGTTTTCTGTAAGAATGTCTGTGAATTAGTTGCATACTTAAAAATGCTTTGAATAAGGAGAGAATAGATTGATCTGATTTTATTAAAATAGAAGTTATTTTCATGGCTTACATTTCTGTTTTTATCATAAAACTTTTCATGTTCTTAACCAAACTAATGAAAGTTATACTAGGGGGCATTTATATAATTTTGCACTAATCACCATTTATAAAGCTATTGAACTTTTGGGGGCATTTTTTTTTTTATTGAAAATGCTACTCTAAATGAAGAGTGTGCTTGGACCTTTTTGATGGTACAAGTCTGGGACAGAGAACAGAGATGACAGTATGTGAAGCCACTGTTATCCATTGAGGCTCTTGGTTGCAAGTAACAAAAACAAAATTTATAACAGGACAATAGTTGACAAGGACACTATTGGAGAGAGAGCACATGGAGTCCTCGGGGGTTGGGCAATAAGCAGTGGAGGAAAGACAACAAAGGCATGACCTTGTGCTGAATCTGAACATGGGCTCCAGAGCCCACGTGTGTGTCCATGTATAGGCACACACATACTCACCCAGGGAAGTGAGAACACATGCAGAATCAACATCCCGTCATTTCTGTACTTGAGTGTGAGGCCAGGTCAGTTGTGTCTGACTCGCACCCTTCGTGACCCAACACATACTCCCTCTAACTTCAGAGCACACTGCAGTAATATGCTGGAATGTTCATGCCTGAAGATTTTAAAGGATGGTTACCTGTATGGAGGGGAAACAATCTTTTATTATCTTTCTATTAATGGACATGGTAGTTCTATAAGCCATGTATGTACAGAACACAGCTTTTGCAAGGTTTGTCCCTTATTTGGCATGACAATGAGTCTTCAGTAGGCCATTTGGTGTTTCACAGGGGAACATGGTCAGAGTGCTGAATCCTATGGTGATAACTCCAGTGCTTTGTAACTATCTGTATATATTCTTTGTCTAGTAGCCATAACATACAGAATGCTAAAAGAGATTGAAGAGGTTATTGAATGTAGAGTCGAGTCAGCAGAGGCAGAAAGAGCAGGAAGAACCCATTCACTGTCAAGCATTTATTCCACCTCGGGTGAATCAACGACCTCTGCATGATTCACACAATAAACTCACTGCCACGGAGTTGGCTGGTCTCCTTAGCCATACTGCTCTTCCAGGCTTGGTATTGTTCCCAGTATGGAAGGGCTGGAGCCTAAGGCGTGGTATCAGCTGGGTTGCCCTGGGTGAGTGGGTCTATCTTATCCTGTCAGCATGTTTTTATCCACGAGGCCTTGGTCACTTGGTCACTATGCAATAAAGAAACACAGGAGGACAGGCCATAAAGGAGGTGTTTCATCACAGAATCTGCTGACCTGTTGCTTAGAAGTAGAAAGACCTAGACAGGTGAGTATATAGCAAATGGTGGGTTGTGGCCACTGGTTAGGTTGGATACTCAGGAACCTAGGAAGAACAGAATGGGAAAATGACAGGAAATTAGTGGACAAGGTATCTGTGTACAGCTTTCTGAATGGGAAAAAATCCTGGCAATATTTTTTATATATGGATGCTCACCAAAGGGTGACCTCAGAGGAGGAGGATGTTCATAACCAAGAGCTGACCCCTTCTGTGGTCCCCGGTTAGTTCTATCCCAGCTGTTCCTTTCATTGCCGTGAGGCTCATGATTGGAATAGTCCAGCTGTCAGGGACGGAGGTTATGGGAGGACTTCTACTCACCGAGAGTGGCTGCCTTGGACCCCATCGGAGGCCCAGTGTGCCTGCTGCAGGACCCACACTGAGTCCCCAGTGTGGAACCATTACTGGTGACCAGGCATCTAATTGGTGGCACAATGATTGCATGGGACAGTGTTTTGTTCTCTCTGGGCAGCCGCTGTGAATAAGGTGTGACTTCCCGGCACACCATGCTTCTGCTCCTTGGGCTCACAGAGCATTACCCCCCTCCTGGTTTTCCTCACAGCCTGGCTTCTGCTCAGGGTACCCACTTGACAGCAGCCCAAGTGCAGCAACGGGTCCTGCTTCTGGAGTTCGCTGGCCTGCCTCTGCAGCTGGCTTGATAGGCACATGGAAAAAAGACCTTTGGTCCACTCAGTCTCATTGTCACCTTGGTGGCCATACCTTAGAGGCTGGGACAACTGTCTCTGAAGACCTTTTATGCTCTGAATTACTGTCCCATATGTGAAACCAACCATCTCATCAAAATTCATCTTGCCAATAGTCAAGAGCTGCATTTGCAATCTAGCCTTGTCCAGTTTACCCAAGATTCTTTTTATTATTTTTTAGTTTAAAATTTTATTTCTTCTAAAGTAGCATATATAAACTGTAATAAGAAGGACTTCTGTAGTGAGGGAAATTTTTAACATATGGCTAAGTTTGGCAGAGAGTCATAAAAAATCACATTGTGCAATAAAATCTAAAAATTATAGCATTGTTCATAATTTTGTTTCTTTGAGATTGATTCTGCTGACATTCAAATGCAGTGACAGTGGAATAATTTAAATGGGAATAAAAACACAAAATGGTTGCATAGAATGATTAAACTAACGTTATTCAAGTTCTGTTTCTGCACCTTTACAGCCATGACATGATAACTGTCTATTTCAAATCAAGGGAACACAGGAATATGCAGCTTCTGAAGCTCTGGATACAAAACTGCATGGAAAGGAGCCCACACCATTCCAAGTATTCAGATGGACTCTCCCTTGAAATGGATGAGAATAGCCAAGTCAGTGCTTGTCAGGAATATTTATAAAGCTGGAATTCTCTAATTTAATAATCATACAGAATAAAACATTTATTAAATTTAAAAAGTAATGCAAGTATGTTTATTGGATGTCACACATTGTTAGTAGGTTGAATAGAAACAAGGTAATTGTTTAGAATTTAAACCAATGTAATGATTTTGAAGGGGTTATTGATCACGTTCTAGGGAAACAGCCATGGGCGTACTATGACCCAGAACTGGGACCTCTTTATTGTCCTTTGCAGGCAATACACTTTCACTTTGATTCTTGAATGGCCAAAGAACTCTGGATTTCCTATAAAAATCAGTAACTTGGGCTGGGGATGTGGCTCAAAGGGTAGCACGCTCACCTGGCATGC